TGGAGCCAACCACGGAATAGTAGCGGCCGTTCCCCCGTACTTGTGCACAGCAGGTGCGCGTATACCCCCATTGACCATACTCACACAGTCACGGAAGTCTCTGAGACGGACCTCTGCGTTCGTATCCAACAGGATGGATGACGCCTTGAGATTACTATGAATGGGGAAAGGATCGGAAGAAGAAGAAAGTGTGTCCTGTAGTAAGCATATGCCTTTGTAGAGATATTCAAACGCGTATTGGTGCTGGGGACAGGGTTGCAAAACACACGGAGCGTACTACTTGGTTAAGTATAGTCATGTTATGTGTGCATGTGAGTCATATACACAACACAGCCGTTGTCATGAATATACATAACACAACATACTCGAACGTACCACCTGTGTTGTGTATGTATACTCGACGTACTCGTACACATAGACACTGCTGTGTTAACAATATATGATGCCTGCTTGTGCACAATTCCATTCCGGTGTACATAAACATCAGCAAGAAACTTGTACACACTGCGTGTACATACATACATACATACATATACATACATACATACATGCATGTATGCATGCATGTATACACACAACACACACACACACACATATATATATATATATAGATATATATATATACCTTATTGAATACGTATACCTTCCACTTACTTGTAGACATAGCCATTGTCGTGTATGTATATAAGTGCCCGTAGGACCTCGCCCAGAACATATGCCACTGTAGACTCATCGAAGCCAGGATTGTCACCGTACTGCATCACCCTCCATGCCGATCCTAAGTGTAATTCATCACATACGTAAAGGTAAATTAAATCGGTAGCATTAAACGGAATGGCGTTAAGACACATACGAATACCGATGGTGTAATCGTACGTGTACGTTCCCCAAAGTCATAAGGATGTGAAAGCATAGTTCACTAAGCTTTTAGTATATGTATACAAGCTCTCACTCAAATGCAATCGAACGTATCTGAGAAACTTAGGTGTGGGTACACATTTGCCATGCCCATTCCGACATGTGGAAGGCTATAACTTCGGAAGAATGATGTACCTATACCACCTAACAAAGTGTACATACAAGACTAAGAACCCGTGTGTGTGTTGTATGCAGGCAAAGGTGCAGATGAATCATGTACACACATACATACAACCTTGCAAACGAATTGAGTCTATTATAAGGGTTCAGGGTAGCGATTATGACCGGTAATGAATTCGAGTTCAAGTAGACACGCATTATAAAGTACAGAAAATACGACCACCAGCCTTATGTGAAACAATGTGTGTATAAATAAATGCATAAGTACTGACATATAATTCTTCATACGTGTGTATCGATCATTTATATGAGACAGTTTACTACTATATA